GCTCTAGGAGGGGAAATCCTTATCTGGTTTTGCTTACCCCTGAGCCCTCAGTGCTCAGCATAGCACTTAGCTTATAATGAGGGTTCAACACACAATGACAGACTGAATGAAAAGCTCATCTGATATGATTCCACACAACGTAAATGAGGAAACAGCTAAGAGAAATGAAAAAACTTGTCCACATTCTCAGCTGGGAAATGGTGGATCTGAGACTTGAACCCACCAGGTCTGTCTCTACCAGGCTCTACAGACCCCTCATGACACATCAGGAAAATCCAGCCAGGTTTATCTTGGAACATCTCCCAAGAATCGAGCCTGGGGCAGGGTCACGGAGCAGCACAGAACTTTTTCCCTTTCCCCATCGCCACACGCCAGGCCCTCAGAGGTGAATGTGGTCCTTGGCCCACGTAGGGCTTCAGCAGGGGCTGCGGTGGAAGGACCCCTGGCTGGGGGGCCTGGTTGCCACTCCCATCTAGGTCTAGGTTTTCCCCTCTGAGAAATCTAACCTTCTATTTAGAGGGACTCTCAAGCTTGGGAGTGGCAGGCTGGGGGCCGGTGGAACTCACCGGGGACACTTGCAGATTCTTATCTACTAGGGCCTCACGCAGCACCAGACGCCCAACGCTCTGCAGGTGCTGCAAGGAGATCACCAGGGTCCCCAGAGACCTAGGGGTGTTGCATGGAGCAGAAAGAAGAGTGACCTGGGGAATGGCCCCAAATCACCCCCAGCCCCACCTGCATCCTTGGCTCCTCCAGCTGTGTGTTCAGCCTACTCACCTGGGGCTGAACACACGGCTGCAGTTAACCACCTGCACTGACAGACACTCCCCAGCCAGTGGGGCCCCATAGTGCGGCCAACGGAACAGCTGGGGATAGAAGGAACTTTGTGACCCCCCCACCCCCGTCCAGAGCCTGTTCCCAAGCCTGAAACAGGAACCAACCATCCAAACTTGGAGCTAACCCTATGACTGATCTTTCAAACCTGGAACCACCCCCAACCCACCACATGAGGTTGATGCCAAATTAGGGCTGATCTGGGATAACAACCAATCAAAAACTACCGATCATAATCCCCTGTCTTGATTCTGACTTGTCTTAAACTGGGTCAGACCTCTCAAGCCTGAGACTGACCCTGCCTCTTGAGACTAGATCTCTCAAAAACCGGGAATGAGCCCCCCAACCCCAGGATGGACTTAGATGGGGCACAGATCAGCTTCTCCCCATCCAGGATCCAACCCCACTGACCTCACCAATATCTGCTTCTTGGCCACAGTGAATTCTCCTTGTTTTCTGAGTGAAACCTGCTCAGAATTGAATCTAGCATTTATCAGTCCTTCCCCATGCAACCTCCACCCCCTCAAATCCTCAGCCCAGAGCCCAGTCTCCCTGGACTCACCTTAAAGGAAGGTAGAAGATGGGGAGGGAAGGAGACAGAGAATTGAAGATATTTGGCTGGGGGATAAGGAACAGGCTGTAGAGATACCTAGGGATAGGGTTGGGGGCCTTGGGAATGTAGGAACCAGAGCCCCCTACTTCCAAAAGTCCTTAGAGTACCCCTGCAAGCCTCACCCCGAAAGCTGAGCCTCACTTGTCGGTCATGGGTGCCCGGCAGCCCTGTCAGTCGCCGCACACACACGGTCAGAGCCATTGTCCCAGGGCCACTGGCTCTGCCTCTGCCCGCCTGCCCTCCTGCCCACCTGCCCGCACATCGGAATGGCCTCTGAGTCACGGGGCTCACCCAGCAGGTTCGGCAAACCCTGCCCTATAGTCAAACACACAGGCAGCAGGTCTGGGTGTTATAGGTGGGGAAGGAGTTGGAGGACTAAGAGATGGGTGTAAGGTCCCTGTGGTCAGCTCAATCTTCCCTGCCTGCGCCACTGTCAGCCTTCATCCTGCATATCCTGCATTCTTGTGGGAGCTGGGAGCTGGGAGGGGTGGAGGCGAGGACTGAGGATAGCATCTCAGTTTGGTCCAGCGAACCTATGAGGACCTAGGGGCATGGGCTTCATGGGGTTCCTGGTTCACCATTCCTGTCCTCAATGCCCAGCTCAGGCTCTGGTTACATTGTAGGCCCTCATAACATTAGCCGAGCAAATGGATGGATTAATAAATGAATCCCATAGCCCCCAGCATTAGTATTGTGGGCACCCAACACATTTAGATTGAACATGTCCCTAACTTGCACATAACAAGTGTTCAAACTAACTTCTTTTCTTTTTTAAAGAAAAGATTTTATTTGTTTTTAGAGGGAGGGGAAGGGAAGGAGAGAGGGAAATGAGAGAGGGAACAGCAATGTGTGGTTGCCTCTGGCGTTCCCCTTACTGGGAACTTTGCCTGAAACCCAGGCATGTGCTCTGACTGGGAATTCAAATGGTGACCTTTTGGTTCACAGGCCGGCACTCAACCCACTGAGCCACACCAGCCAGGGCCCTAACTAACTTCTCAGCCAGAAGCCTTATCTTGGGATTAATAATGGGACCATAGATAGGCTCAAGGGAATCAGCAAACCCCTAAAATTCTTTGCAAATATTGAGCACATGTGCATTTTTCTGGATATAGAACTCCTAGCTTAGGTTAATAATCCTTTAACAGATGTGTAGTACTTTTACTGAATATATGAAGGAAGGAATGTATTTTGTAATCTGAACCTGTGGGTGATGATAACTATGTGCTGAGTGTACTTCGTGGCCATCTGAGGAATCATTCTATTTAATGGCACCTCCTATCCGCAGGACTTGTGCTATGACACCATGAGGGAAAGGGGTTGCAGCTGGAGATGAACTGGACACACCCTCTGTCTTTCAGCACCTTCGTGGACTCCAACATTAAACGAAGACTAGGAAGACTGCAATGGCCATCAGAACAGAAACGAATCAGGCTGGGTTCCTTGCAGGATGGAGCCCAGAGGGGCATTTAGAATGAGCTCAGTGAATTAGTGTCGCCCTGCAAGCCGAAAGGTTGCCAGTTCAATTCCTGGTTAGGGCACATGCCTTGGTTGTGAGTGGGGGGTCGAGTGAGGGACAACAACAGATCAATGTTTCTCTTGCACATTAATGTTTCTCTCCCTCCCTTTCTTCCTCACTTCCCCCATCTCTAAAAAAAATAAATAAAATCTTTAATAAAATAAAATAGGCTTTGGGAACAAGAGTTGAGCAGAGACGGAAATCCAGGCAGTGGGGAGGAATTCGGGGTGTGTTCCTGAACCTGTGATTTGTTCGGTTTGGCCTGTGTATACGGAACGTATCAGGTGGTTGCAGTAGATAAGATTAGGTGGTCGGAGGACCTGGGGCTCGCTGTGTGGCGTTGAGTCAGACATGATCCCTTCTCCAGCTTCAGCTTCTTCTCAATAGTGGGACTAGAAAGCCTTGTTCTTCTCATTTCCCAGGTATTAGGTACTCAGATGTGTTTTTGGGTCCCAGATAAGTGGTATGGATTGTCCCATTTCTAAACAAGTTCCGAGTTGGACCTCAAGGCCTCCAAATGTTGGGGGAGGACTTCACTTACCCATTTGAGAGATGGGGACACTGAGACCCAAAGGAAGGCAGAGGGGGAACCAGAATTCTCCGCTTGCAATGCCTTGGCCCTTCCCTTTCTTCCTTTCCTGAGTCCTGAGGCATCTAATCAAGCAAAGTATAGATGCCACTCCTCTGGAACCTAATGTAGGCACCTCCCCTCTGGGCTAGAACCCAGCCGGGCAGGTTCTCCCAGGACTTCAACCCCCCTAAAAACAGCCACTTTCGCTTTCTGACATTCCAAAGATGGGACGTGGCAGAAAAAATACCGAGTTTTGGAATTCTAATCTTTATCGCCCATTGTGTGGTTTTAGAAACATCCTTTCCTCTCTCTGGACCTGTTTGCCTAGCTGTTCAATGTGCACAGGATGCAATGAATATCTCTTCAAAGTGTAGTCCTTAATCAGGATCATACAATGTGGTTGTTAAAAATGCACAGTCCTGCACCCACTCCAGAAATGCTAAAGTAGGGAAGCATTTCTGGAGTGGGTTCTAAGCAAGGTATGCCTGGGAACCTGAATTTCTATCCTCTACATTTGTATGCTGCCACACAGGAGCCTGTGAACCTCTGGTCTCTTGGCTGTCAACATCTGTGAGTCCCCATTCTATTCTTGAAGACTCAGGTGACTGGTTTGACCGTGGGTATGAGCAGTTGGTGGGTACTGAATTCTCACCCCGCAGACCCCTGGTGAATATGGATCTGAGAGAGGGATCCACAGACCTTGATGTCAGAGTTCTCAGGACTGATGACTAGGATAAGAGGAGGGGAGTGATGGGTTTGCAGAGCAAAAGAGACCAAATGTTTATTTAGAAGTGCCCTGGGTGACCCGTTGGCTGCCGCCCCCCCCCTTTTAATCTTCACCCAAGGACATGCTTATTGATTTTAGAGAGAGGGGGAGGGAAAGAGAAGTGAGAAACATCGATGTGAGAGAGAAACGACTGGGAACGAACCTACAACCCAGGCACATGCCCTGACTTGGAATCAAACTCCGGACCCTTCAGTTTACAGGACAACCCTCCAACCAACTTAGCCACACGGTCCGGGGGAACTTGCTGCTCCTTAACTCATTCATTCACAAATATCTGAGAACCTATTACATGCTGGGCTTGTCTAAGGTGCCAGAGGACGTAAAAGGATAGAAATTCTTTTTTAGCCGAGTGCAGTTTTAAATAGAGTATTCTGGAAAAGTGCTGTGATGTTATTGCTTGCTTTAACATGAGAAAGGAGACGGCCATGGCTCCCAGTAATGTCACGACAAGTTCTGTGACCCTCGGTCAGGGCGTTCTGCGGATACCGTGGTCTCCTCTATGACGTCAGCAGCAGGGTTCAGAAACAGAAGAGAGGGCCGAGCCCAGCCGTGGGGCCCGCCGGCTACACGCAGGCTCCTGGGGTCCCGGCGGCGCGCTCCGGCTGAGGGAAGGCCGAGGGTCTTGGCGGCTGCTGCGGCAGCGACTTTGGCGTCCGTGAGGGACCAGCCCAGAGTCAGGATGCGGCGGAGCCCCCGCCCAGGCTCGGCCGCGTCCCCGCACAAGCACGCGTCCAACTTCTACAGTGACAACAGCAACAGCTCAGTGAGCACTACCTCGGGGGACACCAGCGGCCACCGGTCAGGTGGGCCGGGGCCCGGGGAGCCCGAGGGCAGAAGAGCCGAGGGCTCGAGCTACAGTGAGCCCGTCTTGAGCTCAGGAGTGCCCGGAGGAACCGCATGGGATGGAAGCTCTCGGCAGAAACCGGCGCAGCGGAGCCACAAAGTGCCGACCACCGGTGGCGCGGCTACCGTGAGGGGCGGGGCCTCGGGTGCGGGCGGGGTCGAACCTGGGTAAGCCGAGGGAGGGGGCGGGCACAGGGACGGGGCTGGGCGAGGAGCCGGGAGGAAACTGAATCTGGGCTCCTCCTAAGGGGCGGGGCCTATGGAGCGATGAGGGGGAGGCACTAAATAAGATGCTGCGATAGAGGAACTGGGGAGAAAATCCTGTGATTGGGCACCACTGAGGGGGCGTGGCCTCGGTGTTAGCAGGAGTGGCTACCTGGGACAAGGGCCCAAGCGGGACCTAAGACTGGGGGCGGGGCTTCCGTTGGGTGGTGGAACCAAAATCTTAAGTGAGCGTCCCTGAGGGACGGGGCCTCAGAGTGCCCTGAGACCTGGGGTCGGGGGTTGCGGTGGGACCAAAGCCTGTGAGAAGCGGCCTTGCTTCTGGGCTGGAGAACGTGAGGCCTGGTCCCGGGGAAAGAGGGGGTCTGCCGTGCGCAAGGCCACAATGGAGCCCTTGGGCTCCCGCAGAACCGGCTGGCTCTCCCGTTGTCTCTGAGGAGCAGTTCGACCTTCTCTCGGCCCTGAATCTGAGGCAGGAGATGCAGTCCCAGCGAGTATTCAAGAGCTTCCTGAGTATGGGTCAGGCTAGACCAGATCCCCTCTAACTCTCCAGCTCCCCTTCCCGAATTCGGTCTCATCTCTGAGACTGTCGGTTCTCAGCCCCCCGCCCCATGCCTGAGACTACATCCCTTCTCTGAGCCCGATCCACCTTCCCTGAGCCTAAACGCACTCTCTTTGCCCCATCTAATTCTCTTGGCCCACCCCTCTTCATCTCTACCCTCTTTAAGCTGTAGTCCTGTCTCTGAGCCCCTTCTCCTCCCCTCAGGCCTATTTTTCCAGGTGCTGAGCGTGTTTTTATCCCTGCTAGGAGACATGCTGGTCAGTGTGTACAGGTCAGAGGGAGGAAAAGGGGACCCCCAGGGGCTGCTCTTTGGAGAAGGTGGGGAGCAGGGCCTGACCCTGCTGAGGCTTGAACCGATTCATACCCAGCTGAGTCGTGTTCACAGGAGCTGCCGGGTCTAGGAGCCTGGGGTGGGGCTGCGGAGTTCACTAGGATCCCTGGGCCTCAGCCTTCCTCTGGTTTTTTAGAGAGGTCTGTTCCATCCGCTTCCTGCTCACGGCTGTGTCCTTGCTGAGCCTCTTTCTGACAGGTGAGAGGGTGGGGAATTCCTGAGTGCTTTGGAGCCAAACCAGGCACATTTTCTCCTATACCCCTCAGCCCACTGTGCCCCTTCAGCTCTCCGCAGTCCCCTTCGGGGCCCTGTAGTCCCCTCTCAAACTCAAATCCCTCAAGACTCTTCTCCTTCACTGTCCTTTATGCCAGGGAAATCCTCTTCCACTCCCTTCCCCTGAGACCACCCCCTTCTTTCTCCAGCACTCTGGTGGGGTCTCCTGTACCTGGTCCCTCCTTTGGAGAACGTGAGTCTGGGAGTCCGTGTCCCAGGGTGGGTGGTTGGCAGTCTATGAAACTGGAGCTTGTAGGGTGCCCCCTGTGGGCTGTTGGGAGGAGGAAGCAGTGCTGGAAGGACTGGATATAAATAGGTTTCTGAGAGATTGTGTCCAGAGGTGCTGGAGGGTCTCTGAGGGTCCTGGAAGGTCAGGAGAGGGGGTGGCAATCCTCAAAAGGAAGGCCCTTTGAGTCTGCCTGCTCTCAGGCTCAAGTGGGACGAGGGAGGGGGGCGGGGACTGAGCAGCGCTGTATTTTGTCCTTTCCTCCCTCCAATAGGAACCTGAGATGCTGACCCTAAGGTGAAAGATGGCATCTAGGGGGTGGAATTGGGGGGCTCACAGGTGCTCCCGTGGAGGGGATATGGGAAGTGTCTGGGGAACAGGGCGCTAAGCACACTGTGCCAACCTCCCGCCTGCAGCGAGTACCACGAGCGCGTGCGCACCCAGGGGCAGCAGCTGCAGCAGCTCCAGGCTGAGCTGGATAAACTCCACAAGGAGATGTCCAGCGTTCGCGCAGCCAACAGCGAGGTGAGCCCCGCCGCATCCCGCTCTCACGAATCCTGTTCTCACAGCCCGGCCCCAGGGGGTGTCCAGGGGGCTCTGCCCACTGCACAGTCCTTGCACTTGGAAACCCCTTTCGAAGGCCCGCTCTCCGGGTCTTGAGTCTTAAAGCCCTGCCCCAGAGCCTCAACTTCGGGATTTCTTTCCGGGCTACAAAGCCCATCCCCAGACAAGTATGCTCCCCTTTAAAACCAGCCCACAAGCCCGGTCCTCCTTCTTTCCAGAGGGTGGCCAAGCTCGTATTCCAGAGGTTGAATGAGGACTTTGTGCGAAAACCCGACTACGCGCTGAGCTCTGTGGGTAAGACCCATAGACCGTGAGAGACTGAGACACTGACACACGGAAAGAGACGCAGACAGCCCTACACACACGACCGACCCAAGGAGTCCGACCTGAGACACTGACCCAGCTGTCGGTCAGGTCTAGGAGTCCCTGAGCGGTGGCTTCTCCCCTGTTCCAGGAGCCTCCATTGATCTAGAGAAGACATCCCGTGACTACGAGGACGCGAACACTGCCTACTTCTGGAATCGCTTCAGCTTCTGGAACTACGCGCGGCCACCCACGGTTATCCTGGAGGTGGGCCTGGAACCGGATCAGAAGGGCCAGGGGCGGGACTCTGGGGAAAGAACCAATAGCTCGCTGGAGGTGGGACCTAATTGAGCTGAGGGCGTGGCGCCAGGCCCGGCCCTGCTGGGTCGGAACGCGCCTGACTGGAGGCGGGGCCTGGTTTGGGTGGACTGAGGCTGGTGTTGCCGGAGAAACCTGGCTTTACTACGGACTGGGGTCTCGGGAGGGATATGTCTAGGCAGGGGCCCTGGCTGGAGGTGGAGGACTGAACCTGGCGAAATGGGTCGAGCTGAAAGGAAGTTGGCCGGGCGGGGGTGTGAGCGGGAGGCTGACAGGGCACAATGTGAACCCGTGCCCAGGCTGGAGAAGGGCAAAGTCACTCGATCCGCGGGTTCTGATCGACTCTCGGTCCTCTTGCAGCCAGATGTGTTCCCTGGGAATTGCTGGGCTTTTGAGGGCGACCAGGGCCAGGTGGTGATCCGGCTGCCAGGTCGAGTGCAGCTGAGTGACATCACCCTGCAGCATCCACCTCCCAGCGTGGCGCACACCGACGGAGCCAACAGCGCGCCCCGTGATTTCTCAGTCTATGTGAGTTGGATTGAGGCCAAGGAGGTGGGGGATTTTGCTTAGAAAGCACCAGGCACTTGGAAAACCCATGAGTCTTTGCTTGTGCATCTATAAAATGGAGATATCACCACTTGTCTTTCAGAGCTGCGATAGGTTATAATTATAACCACATCCAAATATTAGTTACGGATTATTGAGCGCTAACTCTGTGCTGAATGCTTTACATGGATTATTTCCTTGCATTCACACAACCTAGTACTACTCCCCTTCACAGATGAGTAAAGTAATGCTCAGGGGACCTTACTTGCCCAAGGTCACACAGCTAACAACTGGCCAGATAAAATGTGCAGCCTGGTTTCTTTGAGCCCACATTGCACACGACACTTTCCTAACACCAAAAAAACAAAGGAGCCCTCACTGGTGTGGCTCAGGGCACATGCCTGGGTTGCAGACCAGGTCCCCAGTTGGGGGCATGCGAGAGGCAACTGATAGACATGTTTCTCTCCCTTTCATTCTCCTTCCTGTCCCTTCTCTCTAAAAAATGTTTTAGAAAACAAAAAACAAATGAAAACATGCATACAGCTACTGAACACATACATAGTAGGTCCTCAACAAAACTGCTTTCTCTCTTCTCCACCTGTGCCTCACTGTTCCCCAATTCACTCTTCACCTACCAGGGCCTCCAGGTTGATGACGAAACTGAAGTTTTCTTGGGAAAATTCACCTTCGACGTGGAGAAATCTGAGATTCAGACTTTCCACCTACAGGTGTGTTTGTCTCGGGGGATGAGAGTGCTAAGGGAGTGGGACAGTGAGAAGATTGGGGAGAAAGGCAGCCCCTGTCATGATCCATTGGTCTCCCCAGAATGACCCCCCAGCTGCCTTTCCCAAGGTGAAGATCCAGATTCTAAGCAACTGGGGCCACCCCCATTATACGTGCTTGTATCGAGTCCGGGCCCATGGCATCAGAATCTCAGAGGAAGCAGGGGACAGTGGCACAGGGGAGCCCAATTAAACATGCTGATTGTTAAAACAGAGTGAAGGTCTGTGCTGAAAGAAGCTGATCAGTGCTGGAGGGTCTGTTGGGGGCTCTGGCTGCTGGGGGCTCTGGCTGCCTTTGGTATATGAGTATGGTTGGAGAGTTACCTCCTAATGTACCCTCTTTTCTTGGAGAAGTCCAGATCAATACAGTAGCAGAGCTCATATTATGGAGGGCTTCCATGTGGAAGAGATGGTAGTCTGGACATTACACACAGTACCTAACTAATCCGCACAATCACAGAGAGGGAAACCACTCAGATCAGGCAACTTGCTCAAGGTCATGTTGCTAGTGGGTAAGAGTCACAGCAGGGCCCAAGCCCACCTTTTTAACTCCAGAGGCCACCCTTTTAACTGCAGAGCTGCCAGCCAGTGGGAAGCCATGCTTGTGAACCTCAATTCCCACTTCCAGCCTCTGGGAGAGCCCCTCTTCATGAGGCAAACACTCAATAACTGAGACTTGGGAAACCCTAGGAACCCTTTGAGTCAGAACCGATGCAGGCCTGGGAGCCCCTTTTGTCTTCTGAGAGACGGCAGTACCCAACTCTATGCCAGGCACAGTACAGATGGCTCACCAGTCTCTGCCCCCAAGGAGCCTGGTAGGAAAGAGGATGCTCCAGGAAACAGGGCAATTCATTTACTAATCCAATCATTCTTCACTAAGAAAGCAGAATTGGAGGAATGAAAGATGGAAGAGACAGCCATTAAAGGATTAATGCATTCTACCTGGGCAGAGGGTAGAAAAGGGGACCAGGATGAGCAAAGACACAGGCAACATCTTGGCTGTTAAGATCCTTCCCGGTGTGTTCATATTTTGGAAGAATATACACACTATTAACAGTGGTTACACCTTTAGGAAGTGGAATGCTGAGTATGTGTGGGAATGGAGCACAAATCCACCTGTTAAATTTTGTGGGTTTTACTTTTGTAATTTGAAGACAAAGGAAAAAGGTCCTCTTAAGTGGTCTCGAAGCCTGAGGTTAGAAACAGGAACTCTAGCACCTCTTCTGGAGGGCAATTGCACAATAGGAACCAAAAGCCTTAAAATTTGTATACTCTTTAATCATTGCAATTCCATCCTAAGAATGGATCCAAGGGATATGTAGATGTAATCAAAGTAACACTTTTAAGAATGTTCATCACACTGTTTTTTCTAAAGGAAACACTGAAGCCCTGACCTGTGTCTCAGTTGGTTGGGCGTCATTACCTGAAGTGAAAGGTGCTGGTTCCATTCCCAGTTAGGGCACATACCTTGGTTGCGGGTTCAGTTCCCAGTAGGGGAGCCCACCAAAGGCAACTGATCAGTGTTTCTCTCCCTCCCTTTCTCCTTCCCTTCCCCTCTAAAAAAAAAAAAAAAAAGAAGTAAAGCCTTTTTTGAAAAAGAAAAATCTGAAAATAGTATTTAAGATAAATTATGCTACAAAAATTACACACAGCCAATAGAAATAGTAGTATAAGGGAATGTTTAATATTATGGAAAGTAATTGTTATATGGTTAATTTCTTTAAAAGCAAGCTAGATTGGTATACATAAAAAGTATAAACTTCCATATGAAAATAGTTCTAAAGACCAAGACACTGCAAATGCGAAGACAGTGTCCTGGAAGGAAATATTTTTCAATATGTGTAAGAAAGGACTGAATAATTATAACAAAATAAAGGCTATAAAAACCTATAAATAGGCTATTTGTAAGAAATAAAATTCAAGGCCCTGGCTGGGTTGCTCAGTTAGTTAGAACGTCGTCCAGATACTCCGAGGTTGTGGGTTCGACCCCTGATCTGTCACAGACAAGAAGCGACCAATGATGCATGAATAAGTGAGACAACAAATCAGTATTTCTTTCTCCCTTCCTCTAAAATAAATTCTAAAATTTTAAATAAAATTCACAACTAGCTTTCATAATTAAATAAATTCAAACAAAAAATTTTGATTTTTTTTCTTGCCTGGCAGATTAACAAAAAGGGTACCCCAAAACTATTTCTGTGGTGGGCAATTTACAATATTAAAATTTTAAATATTTGTATTGATTTAACATTTCTATTTCAAGGAACAAATCCTTCAGAAACATTCCTGTAAATGCACAGATAAATGTATGAGGATATTCATGACAGCACTGTTTTGTCACAGAATAAAACTGCAAAGGACCCAAATCTCAGTAAGTAATGAATTGGCTAAATAAGGTACAGTACAGTTAGTTACACACAGAACAATATACAGGTAGTAAAAAGAATGAGGTCAGCAGTTAAGTTCTGATACACCCAAAATATAGTAAAAGCAAGGCGCAGGCAGCATGTATAATATGCTGTTTAGAAAAGAAACCTTGTCAGGCCTAGGAAAGACAGGGACCCTCATTTGCTCCATTACCTATTTTGAAGCATGCTAAAATAGTATGTATAATATGATCCCATTTTATCAAATAAGAAACATGTATCAACTATAAATACTATGGATAAAAAACTAAAAAATATGCACCAAATATTTTGTTGGGACAGGAGTTTAGATGTTATTTTTTTTCTGTATTTTTTTTCTACAACAAATATATGTATTTTCTAGTGAGAAAAAAAATGCTGTTAAAAAATTCAGGCTTGTAGCCAGCCTGTTTTTAGGACTAAAACCAACACTGCTCCCTCCCCAGTAGGTCTAGCATAGCCCTTGCTCCATCTTAAAGCCCACCCTCCCCTAACACTCTCCACCTTGTCCTGTGTTCCCATCTCAGCTCTACTCTGAGGCAGGGCAGTCTGGGTGTCTGATTTACAGTCAATCTTTGTATTTCAAAAATAAAGTCAGTGTCTCTAGAAATCCAGCCAGGAATATCCAATTTTTTTTTGAGTCAGGCTATTATGTCAAAGGCAACAAAGAGGCTCAGAGAGAAGTACACATGGCTAGTAGAAGATTCCCATCCCAAAACACACTGGTGACAAAGCAGTGGCCATCATTGATCTTTATTGAATGAGGGGCTCCAGGGGCAAGAAGGTGGGATCAAGAGCAACAGTAGGAGTAAGTACAAAAGTATAAAATATAAAGTGCTAAGCACTGGGGAGTGTGCGCAGGGGTGAGCACTAGTGCATATGGGCCTTGAGGACGCAGAGCTGAGGACTGGCCACAACCTACCCTCCAAGGGAATCTAGGCCTGAGGAGCCTGTGCAGGGGCCTGTGCAGGGGCCTGTTCAGGGCCCTTGGCTGGAAGTGGAAGCGGCTTCAGTGGGGCACAACCTTGGGCCTTGAAGTAGGAGACCAGTTGCCCAGGTACTTCTGCAAGCACAGTCTGCGCCAATGCCTCCCGAGGGGCCTGCCAGGAGAAGAGGGGCAGGTCAGTGGGGGCCCACACCAGCTTCCCAAGGCCTACATTTTATACCCAAGAAGGGATACAAAAGTCAATACCAAACCCTGCCCTAGACGTAGATGAATGGGTATCTCCACTCGTATCAGGGAAGGGTGGAACAGTAAACTCCCAGATCTGGTCTGCCCCAAGCTTGTCCCCACTCACATTCTGGAAGCGGCGGTAGGGCACAAACTGCACTATGTCGCGGGCAGCTCCCTCCCCGGAGCGTGTGCGCAGGGGCCCGCCATCAGCATCCAGCTGCTCCATGGCCTCGAAGTCAGCACCACCCACACCCACGATGATCACTGACATGGGCAGGTGAGAGGCACGAACTACAGCCTCACGTGTGGCCTCCACATCTGTCACAGCACCGTCAGTCAGCAGCAACAGCACGAAGTATTGCTGGGGACAAGGACATTCATATACTGAAGCAGACCTTTTAAACACCCCAGCCACACATTCCCACGCTGACAAGAAGTCCCTTGTTACGTAGCCCCCAAGGGACCCAATGACCATGGCCATCCTACCACCACCACTCTCTCCCACAACCCTCACCGAGGCAGTCCTCTGATGTGCAGCCTGGGCTGCAAATCTGGCCACATGGTTGATGATGGGTGCAAAATTGGTGGGGCCATAGAGGCGTACTTGGGGCAGGGCCTGACGGTAGGCATCCACAATGCCCTGGATACCTAGAGAAGAATGGCAAAGAGAAAAAACACTATAAGATACTGGGCCACTTGGGGTTGAGCTGATCCTGACATCACCCCATCTTGGGTGAGGAGATTTGGGAACCTGGGTGCATTTCATTCAATCACCCCAGTAACCCAGGGTACTTAACCTTATCCTACAGATGCAGCAAGGAAGGCCAAAGACAGAAGGGACACTTGCCCTAAATCACAGCTTGAAAACCCAGATTATGCCCTGACTGGTGTAGCTCAGTGGACTGAGCTCAGGCTAAGAACCAAGGGGTTGCCAGTTCGATTCCCAGTCAGGGCACATGCTTGGGTTGCAGGCCAGGTCCCCAGTATGAGGCGTTCAAGAGACAACCACACACTGATATTAAAAAAAAAAAACAAAACAAAAAACAGAAACAAAAAAAAAACAGATTAGGGGAATGCCCTGACAAATCTAAGGTAGTTGAGCACCAAATTATAACCCACTTAATAAGGCAATGGGTCATAATCCATTTAATAAGAATCCACCAAGATACTAAATAATGGAAGAGAAAAGAAAGGTCCTAATAAATGTAGAAGGAGGAATTACAAAATCATTTGATAATCGGGGCATTCTACAAATTATCTGGCCTGAAATCTTGAACAATGTCAGTACCATTAAGGACATGAACTCTGGAAGACAGACAACTGAATGCAACATGTGATCTAAGATTTTCCTTTGCTGTAGAAGACAGGACAATTGGAAGAGTTTGAATAAATTCTACAAAATGGATAACAGTATCGTACTGAAGTTAATTTCCTGACTTTGAGAGCTGTGCTGTGGTTATGTGAGAGCGTGTCTTTGAGTTGAGGAAACACACACCAAAGCATTAGGGATAAAGGGCCATGCGAATGATGAAAGGTGCAAAGTTGGTGGGGCAACAGGAGCAAACTTGGGGTAGGGCTTATTCCCTACAATCCCCAAACATCTCAGAAAGAGAACTTGAGTGAGGGTGTAACAAGGAAACTGGGTGAAATGTTCATGTTTGGGGAATCAGGGTAAAGGTGAACAACAGCCCCTGTGACTCAGGCCAACCCCTAAGCTAAGCTCCAATGATGTGAACCCCCATAACTATTCTTATAACTTTTCTAAGTCTGAGCTCATGTCAAAATAAAAACCCAAGTCAGATTAGGTCAAGTTTTCCACTTTGGCTTGTTGCCCATGTGGAAGGTGGCTGGAGAGCCACAAGGTTTGTTCTGTTCTAGACAAGAGAGATGGAGCAAAAAGCACCCTGAAAAGAGCTGATGCCCCCAAAATTACCTATGAGCTTCTAGGCAAAGATGATAATATAACAGCTAACTTTTTTTTAGAGAGCACTTTGTATGTGCCAGGCTAACTGCTTCAAACTATACACACACCCTCTCCTCAAACATTCAATACCCTACGATACTGTGATCCTACCGCACACAGAAGCCAAGCAACTGGCCCCAAGTCACAAAGTTAGCAAGTGGCAGGATGAAGATTTGCGTCCAGAGGCCTGGATCTAAAATCTACTCTTCTGGACAATGGAGTCACTAGCCCTTGCCAACGTAGGCTTGGTCCCCTAGGTGTGAACAGATATGCCTGATGCTGGAGGACAGGGGACTTACCTGCACAGTAGGGGTTACTGGGGTTGAAGTTCAAGGCAAATTCATGGGAGACCTGAAGACAAGAACGAAAATGAGGTTCTTCCCCCACGAATACTTTTGTACTCAGAAAAGGGCACCATGGCACCAGGGTACTAAGCATCAAACAGGAGCTATTCAGTCTTGAGCACTTGCTGTACACATGCCCACAGGGATGCACCTGTTCATCTCCCCACAAAGCTGGGTGCCTGGGAGTAAGTCCACTGCGCTCCCCAAAATCAGGACCCTGAAACTAAAAACATCAGTGTGATAGGGGAAGAGAATGCTCACCTGCCAGTCAGGGGGCACCTGGGCCCCAAATCCAAATGCTGGGAACAGCTTGTCCCTGTAGGAGGACAGTGAATTGGGGAAGAGGCAGTGAGGCAGTGAGAGGAACGTGAGCCCAGAGGCTGGAGCATCTGCAGGGAGTGGGGATAGGCAAGAGAAGTTACTCACGAATCATAGTCCTGGACCACATTGCCCACGCTCCACAGTGCCGACAGGTACTCATTGACCCCTGTTGGGCTCAGGTAGTGCAGAGAGTCCTGTGAGGAGGGGTCTCCATTGGAGCCTGTGAAGTCCACACCTACCTAGGAAGATAGGAGGAGAGGAGCTGAAGGCCACCTTGAGCCCCAGATCTGTTCTCTTGCCCCTGGTAAAGCAACTTACAGTAAAGTTGATTTGGCAGCCTCCCATCACATAGTCCAGGAATGAATACTCTGTTTCTACCTGCAGATGAAACCGGGTCGTGGCTGAGGTTAGGAGCTGGAGCTATGGAGCTCAGCAGTCAGAGCCTGGGTCACATGGGCTATTGTCTCACCTGGCAAATCTTGACACGGATAGTTCCAGAGTTCTTGTAGCTCTTCTTTTTCTGCTGCTTCTCAGGGTGGATACATTCAAACTCAGCCTGGTGAGGAAAGAAAAATTAGAGTAGGAAACTCTGGGAGCATCAGCCACGACTGGAGTGGAGCTGCCTGCCCTCCCCCTCTCTAGGGCTACAGCCCTCTAGCCCCCCTCACCACCCTGAGCAGGGCCGGCACTCACCGGGGCTGCTTGCAGCTGGCCCAGGCTGGTGTGGAAGGTGCCAATGAGATCGTGTGAACCGTCACTGTCATAGTCTGAGCACCGTACCTGCAGGGGAAGGTGTATACATATACAAAGACCAGGAGGTAGGTGGTAGGTGAGAGTAAATCCCTCCCCAGCCTCTCTGCCCCCATCCAGTCCACTCAGGAGACAAGCTCCTCACCTGGATGGGTGTGCTGGGATCTCCTCCACAGAAATGCTGAAGGGGAACAGAGAAACGCTTCCACGTAGGGTTCAGGTTGTTCTTGATTACCTGAAGGGGAAGGCGGGGCCTCCAGTGAGCTCTCGGTTGGTGTGCTGGCAGGTGCCGCCCTTTCTCTACCCGTACAGAGTCTCCTCCTCCCTGTGTTCTAAACCTCGGTAGTCATACGCCCCAGGAGATTCTCTCCTACCTCACCCCACCCAATTCCAGGGTTCTCACACCTCAGATCTGTATGTCAGGTGCCATTTCCCATCACCCTGGCGGAAGAACTCCAAGAATGGATCCGATTTTCCCAGGAAGTCCTGTCAATGCCACAGAGAACTGTTATACAACTCAGGGAGAAACACCCACTACGTCAGTCCTCTGTCCCCTTCTCTGCCCCCCATCACACCATTCCAGTCCCCTTAATTCTTGGGGTAGGAGAGACCTCCAGGGCCTCCTTCCACACACCTTCTTATCTAGGTTTCTGGCTTCCACCTCCATGGTCACTACACGACTGTCCTTCAGCTCCTGAGCTGAGACCTAGGTAAGGGAGGCAGGGGACTGTTTCACAGCATGAATTCCTCATCCATGTAAAGTCCCTGACCCCACCCCCACAGGGTTCATTCTTACCGTGATGGTGCCCCGCCCAGCAGGTTTTCCAGGCTTCAGCATCAAGGGTAGAGTTAACATCTGGCTGGACACAATCTGGGGCACAGCAGGGAGGAGGGGGTGGTCAAGATCTCAGGCAGGGTTAGGTCCTGCTCGGCCCGCACCCTTCAAGTTCCAGGCAGGCTGGATTGTCTGACAGGGCTCTTATCAAACTGTGCCTGGAGGACTCTAATCCCTGGCCCTACATACCTGTCCTAGGGAACACTCAGCCCCTCCTAGGTAGTCATCGTCCCCCAGCGCAGGTGTCTTGTTGTCTATGTCATAAACGCCAAATCGGAGCTTCTGGACTGTTTCAAAGTGGTACTCAAGCTGCAGAGTCTTGGAGAACTCGGGGCTCGAGCTGTTCAGTACTCGCTCGGTCCGGCCAAGCTGTGGGCAGAGGTCAATAAGCATCACAGACCCACACCCTCCACCCTAAAACGATCCTAGGTTTCCTCCATAACCCTAACCCCCCACCTCCTTCTCACCTCAGCCCAGTTGCCCCCTCCCACATCCTGTAAAAGGACGCAGAGTGGGTCAGACTTGGAGCCAATGTCCTTGTCAATGAGGTGGTCACAGGAAATGGACAGCTGAACCAAGGTCACGCAGTGGGCCATCTAGGGAAAAAGGGCTTCGGTCAAGCAACGAAGTGCTTCTCCACCTTCCCTGACTCTATGTCCCAGCTGGGGAAGGCAAGTAGGCTTTACCCAGGCAGGACTGAACCTGCATCCACCCCCACGACACCCAAGGAAGAGAAGGCCCTATAGCCTCCATACTCCTTCAATCTCCTTGCATGAACTCAACGGGACTCAACAGGAGGTGGTGGTTACTACCAACCCTTGTCCAAGAGTATGATGGGAAGGTGCAGAAAAAGGGCACTGGCCTTCATCAACAACTTCAACACCAAACTAGTCCTCACCCTAAAACTGGTCCTAATCCTAAAAACGTTCCCCAGACCTGGACTCTAACCCTGATTTTCTCCAACACCAATGACCCCAAATCAGACCCTAATCCAAGTTCCAACCCCAACATTGCCCCAAACACAACCATGATCCAGAAACTGCTCCCCAAAAGGTCTCTTCCTCCAATGATTTCCCACTAACCCTGGGGCCCTGCATATTGAGGTTGAGTTTGATCCTTCCCACTGATTCTCCTAGCCTCTAATCAGCGGCGCATGGCTAAGTCCTCACTGCCCAGTCCAAGCCACCATCACTTCTCACCAGGCCCACATTAGCCTCTTTAACTGGTTTCCCTCATCCTATGCCATCCCCACCTCCATTCCTCCATCCACACACCAATGAGCCATTCTCAGTAGAGCAACCAGGGTCATTCTGTTAAAACATAGGCCGGGTCATGCCACACCTCTGCCTGAACCCTCCAATGACTTCCCACTCTACCAAGGCTTACCCTACAAGGTCTTGAAAGATCCAGACTTCTCTAACCTCATCTCCTAACTCCTCCTCTCTGGCTTACTACATTCTGCTTGCTTGCCATTCATCAAAGAAGCCTGTTTCTGTTTCTACCTCAAAGCATGGAACGTTCTTCCCTCATGCCTGCATGGCTTGCTGTTCCCTCATGCCTCTAGGTTTTTCTTCAAAGTCATCTTCATTATAAAGGAAAAGGTTCTTTTTTCTAGATGCTCTAAAATTTTAACCCTACCACTGGCACATCGCTCAGCCCTTTCTTGCATTTGCTCTTTGGTATTTATCACTTTCTAATATCTATACCTATATATACACACATATATTTACATATTTTTATATAATGTCTTTCCCACTAGAATGTAAACTCCGTAAAGGAAGGGATATTTGTCTGTTCTGTTCATTGCTTTATCCTAAACACCTAGACAATAAATATTTACTGAATGAAATCCAAAACACCATCTCCAGCCTCAACTCCCAGCCCAGCCATCTCCAAACTGGCAATCAAGTGTCACCAAACTTCTCCAACTCACTTCCTCTTCTGGAAACATCATTTTCTTGCATGGATCACCATGACTCCCATGTAACCCCTCCTCCTACAGTCACCCTAACAATTACCCTCAGACCCCTCACTATCCCTGTGCTCCCCCTGACCCAAACACCTGCAGACCACGAGGAGTGAAACTACGGTCAGATCTCTCATCCAGCTTCACATTCAGCATTCCAGGTCTCCCAGCACTATACCCCCGGATGCTTCCAGCCTTGGCCTCCCTTAAACTGACCCTCAGTCGGTCCTTCCCCCGACCCATCTCAGTTCGTGCTGTTCCCATCGTGGTGCTCCATGGTCTCCATCTGGAATGCCATCAACCAAAGTTGGAATCATTCTTATGAGTTCAACTTGCTTCACATACTGCCCCTCCACAGTGCCTCAGCCTTGGCTTGAATGCATCCACTGACGGAAGACCCACCTCTTACAATCCATTCATCAGAAAGTCCTGCTCCCCAAAGTCCTATCCAAACCAACCCGAGTGTGTTGAATTCTTACTTCACATTAGTCCTATTTCTTCTCCAGTCTGAAACGCCACAGGAAAGCCTTATTCCATCTCACTCTGAGAACCCATTGACACCTAGAAGCCATGAAATCCCCAGCTAAAATCTGGAGAAATGGCCCCAGGTCTTTTCAATATCACCCCCAGAAGGTGGCTTGTAGACTTCTGACCAGCCTGGCCGTCCCTGTGAAGGTTCCCCAAGGACAGATCCAGAGCGGAACACATACTCCTGCCAGAGCAGAACCGTAACCGCCCCCAAGTCACAATCTGACCCCTGCTTCTCACCTCGCATGTTCCCTGAGGTAGTGTGCACAGTACAGAGACAGAGGAAGAATGCTCATTTCACTGTTGCTGAAAACAGTGAAAAAACCTGAGACAGCTTAAAGGTCAATCAGTTGGGCGGTGACTAAATTACGGCACAGTCAAACAATAGAATCCGAGTAGCAGCTAAAAACAACTAAAGCAGAACTCTATTATAATGGTGTTATATGAAAAAGAAATAGTTACCAAAAATGGTAAGAAGAGCATGACTCCATTTTAAACTTCACTAGTGCATGTGTGTCTATAATAGAATTGAATACATACATATACTCGGAAAAATGGAAGAGACACCAAATAAATGCAACTTTCATATACACCTCAGAGGAGTGGAATGAAGGTAAGACTTCTATGTACTCTATTTCTGTATTGTTTCAATATTTTAAAATGTTTATTTTCTATTTTTAAAGGGCCTCATTAGCATTTTTCCACACCTGAAGTCCTCCTAACTGACCATCCTAAGCCCAAAGCCTCTACCTTCAAAGTAATAACCCCTACCTAAGTTCAGGTCTCCTTGTCTCTTGCCTCCTCCCTGGTTTCTCCTCCTTAGCACCTCCTCACCTAGTCATCCTTGATGCCAGCTGCCTATGACCCTTAGGTTCAGGGCCAAACTCCCTAGCAGGACCCCCTGTGGCACAACTCCAGAGGACACATCTACACAGAATTCAGTAGTTGTAGAAAGTGGTGGCTCTGCATCCCTAATTCAACCTTCAAAGCCCCTCCCAGTCTGCTCTATCTTTTACCATTCCACTACCCACCCAACTAGTCACCCAAAGCTATTGGGTTGGCCAAGAAGTCTGTTACACATTTTTCTGTAGAATAAAAGACACATTTTTCATTTTCACCATTAACTTTATTAATTGGGATATTTTGAGTATGCCAGATACCTCTCACTATTGGCTTCCAGTGGGTAGAGGCCAGGGGTGCTGCTAAATATCTTGCAATGCATCAGACAGCACCAGCGCAAAGAATTATTTGGCCAAAATGTCAATAGTACCAAGAAACTTCATAAACCACTGTTGACATGTTCGATCAGTCACATCCCCTCCTCCACAGACTACACAAATCTTTTTTAGCATTTCAGTTGCATTTTTACCTTTTTTGAAATAATAAAGCATAATACACTGAAAATGTTGCTTATCTTCTTTCATCTTCAATATTAATACGGCTGAACAAAAATTCACCAATTTTGATAAGTTTCTTAAAAAATACACACTGATGTCCAGCTGGTATAGCTCAGTGGGTTGAGTGCTGGCCTGCAAACCAAAGAGTCGCCGGTTCGATTCCCAGTCAGGGCATATGCCTGAGCTGAAGGCCAGGTTAACTGGTCAATGTATCTCTTGTACATCGATGTTTCTCTTCCTTTCTCCCTCCCTTCCCATCTTTCTAAAAATAAGTAAATAAAATCTTTTAAAAAATGCATGCTGACATGACAGGTATCAATACAATCTAACAAAATTGTTTCAAATGAAGTTAAAGGCAACTAAGCACTACTAGAGCCATCACACCAAAAAAACATAATGGACTTTTTGGCCAAGCCAGTATGTCTGATTCCTTAAACACATACATGCTGATACCTTTGACTTCCTTGCCTTGCAAATGCTGTGTCATCCAAGGTTCTGCTGTAACTTTATTCCTTTATGAAGCCCTGCTGACCTTCCCCAGGTAAGATTTATTCTCTCCCCTCTGAATGACTACAATGGTTTCCTCATTAGTTTTTCCACACTCACACACCCCTCTATTTATTAGCCAAACAGAAACCAGGCCATACCATTTCTTTGCTTAAAACTCTGGAACGGCTTCTAAAAACTCAAATTCTTACCATGGTCTACAAGGCCCTGCAAGACCCGACCCTTGCCTAACTAATCTAGTCACACAGTATGTTCCAGCCAGGTTTTATTTCTGATCCACATGCACACAGTATCAATCTCATGGCCTCTGGACTGTCTTCTCCCATATACACTCCAGAAAATAAGCTTTATTAGACCAAGAACCATCTGGTTTGCTCATCTCTAATCTCCAGTATCTACAATATTACCTACCCTATAGTAGGTACTCAGTAAAAATATTTGTAAAATATATTTTTAAAAAGTAACATTGAAACCACTACATCAAAAATTTTATTTTTGTCTTTCTACCCTTGTAAACTACAGGCTCTTTGGAAGCAGAGTTGAGTATTATTTCTGTATTCCTGATTCTAGTGCTCAGCACATAATTGGTATTAATAACCATCTGCAAAATAAATGGTAAATGTGCTTTTGCTCAACTCAAACCTTCAGGCCTTTTCCATTTAAAATAATGTCCAGCACTAAATCTTTCTTATCATGATCTTGTACAGCTGAGTTTTAAATTTAATTGCAGGGCTCCTTGAACTCAATATTAAATGGCAGTCAATTTAAAAATGAGCAGGAAATGTTAGATACTTCTTAAAGAAAAATATATGGATTGTAAATAAGCAAAGGAGAAGCGATCAACAGCACTTAGTCATCAGGGAAATGCAAATTAAAATCACAGTGACATATTATCACATACCCAACACAATGGCTAAAAATAAAACCAACAATGCCAAACATTGGCAAGGTACATGGAACTCGCATTCATTGTTAGTGACAGAGTTAAATATACCACTTTAGAAACAGTCTGGCGGCTTATTGGAAAACCAGACAGTTGAGGACTTCCGGCCAAGATGAAGGTGTAGGTAGATAACACTTTGCTTCCTCACACAACCAAAGGAGGACAACAAATCTAAAAACAAGCAAACAAAAAACCCACCCCAGAACTGCCAGAAAATCAAACTGTATGGAAGTCCGACGACCTAGGAGTTAAAGA